GTTTAATATTTTTTATAAAAGTTTAATATTTTTTATAAAAGTTTAATATTTTTTATAAAAGTTTAATATTTTTTATAAAAGTTTAATATTTTTTATATAAAAGTTATTTCAATTTCCTTATTCCGATAACAGATTAAAGTAATTGTTCCAAGCAAAGCAAAGAATAATGTTTAAGAGAACAAAATTTCTGTCCGTCCACCACGTGACGCAAATAATTACGTAAAGATAAATAATTTTTACTTTTGCTTTGGTTCCCGTTTCCTAGTAAATAATAATAATCTAAACATTGTCTTTTTGTATGTTTTTTTTTTGAAAATAAACAAATATGCGGTAACATAATCCAATAAGAAATTTTTATAATTGTGCATATACAGTAATTTGTCGTATTTATTTTCTAAATTTGTATTAATTTTTTTTTTTTTTTTAAACTCCGCAATGTTTACATCTTGTAACTTGATTTATTTGCCCACACACAGAAAGCAAGAATGTTTATCATCTAAAATCAGGAAATATACAACGCATTGTATTGTTCCTGGATCAATCAGCGTACTCAAAAATGTGGTCACCGTCAGTAACACAGTAATAGAAACAAGCGTCGTCGCTTATTAACAGATGAAACAGGAACACCATTTTTGAAAGCAATATTTCATTATTATTAGTATAAAGAAAATACATTTTGAGCGATTACGATAGGAAATGTCCATAATAAAGTTCATTATAATGCATATGTCTTTACTACCAAGTAACTTTGCCGATGTTTTTCGTAATGATTAATTTTGATTAGCTCGTTTATATACGTAAGAGAATGCATTGGTGATTTGTACAAATGGATTCAAAAATAAAAGAATCCTCACATTGTAAAGAAGTTTTATTTTCAAAAAAAAGAGAGATCGTGAGAAAATGAGAATGGCAGGTGATCACATTTGACCCGCAAATAAGAAAAAAGCATTCAATTGATGTCATCAATAGGCAGTGGCCGTCATTTGAGAAGAAAAGGGGTCTGAAAAAAAAAAAAAAAGCATTTGTTATCCCTATATCTCGAGATATGCATGGGAATAATAAAGACCTACCAATAACATAATCCTTATATTCGGGACTCAGAGGGCCGACCGGATTTGGATAAAGGATATTATTTACATTTCCACCTAGAAATAAGTGTTAGTTTAATTAAATATTTAAGTACTCTGAAGATGTTCGGACATTATAGAATGGACTGTCTACTCACATCCATCATCTCGTGTCGGGAAATCCCAGTTACACTGCCAGTTACCATCAACAACAAATTTGAATTCATGTTGCTTAGTGCGATCGATTTCAACAACGGCGACAAAATCATTTGTGCCGGGATTCAAGTGCATCTCATGCTTTTCAGCTATATACATAAAGCGATGAATAAGGTTATAGGAATTGCATGAAGCGTGACGTGAAATTTCGAATCAGATCGGTTACATACCTTTCCAGTCATCAAAATCGCCAGTGACGAATACCTTGTTGCCACCATGCTTCCAGTGAAACTGGAATTGCAAAAGATTATTTACTATAAAGATTATTATCACTGACTGAAAAAAATATGTGGTACTACCTCAATGGGTACCATGTTAGATTCTTTCGCGATCCCATGTGTTGTTTTCATCTCGAAAGGAGGACAATCTATTTCCAAATTATGATTATGCTTGTCTTCCTTCTCTTGTGGCTTGGTGTCGAGGGGGATGGTTTTTACATCCTCTTCCTTGGATGGTTCGTCCTTTAAAAGAGCCTCGGTAGAAGGTTCACTGGGAACCGCTGTTCCATTATTTTCCTCCGGCCTTAACTCCGAAGGAGTTCCGGTGACAAGGTTCACGGTTTTAGACTCGTCTTTAGCTTCCGAGATAGCTCTGGTTTTTTGTTGCTTTTTTGGTGTCTTCACCGCAGCTGGTTTTATAGAATTCGACTTCTCCAAAGTTACTTCCTTGTTGACTTTCACATTCTCTCCTTTGATAAAATACAATATGCGCAGCAAAACGGCTAATATGACCCGTAACACGAAAGTAACAATCACGTCAAACCAGTAGCTTGGAGACATCATTTTAGAAAGGCTCATTGTTGGTGTAGTGTCTTCCGAAGGGAGGTCACGAGTGAAAAGAAGGGAGGAGGGGAAAAAATATTAATATTATTTTATTTTTTGCAGCGTAAGGAAAAAAAGATTGATGAATCGCGCTTTTTGAAAGGATGGTGTGAAAATTTTTTTTTTGATCGTAATGGTGAATAACAATGAGATATTTATATATCACGGAATCTAGAATAGCTGGCATATCCTTGACCGAATAAGATCCCTGCATTTGGATATTTTTTCTCAAAGTACAGAAAGGCTTATCATAAATTAAAATCTGCTTACATGATGTTTGTATGCTGTACATCCTTTTTCTTTGAGAAATTTTTCATTTAATTCACTTGCCTTTTTTCGCAAGTCCTTGTAAAATAAAATGGGAATATATGCACTCACGCATATACTATTGCTGACATTAAAGATATGAAGATAGATGAAAAAGATAGGACACTCCATAGGAGGTTCTACCCCTGCGGAACTTTCATCTATATGGTGATCGATTTCCTAATTGGTTGAGGGGTGATGAATTCTCATCAGATTAATGTTTACGCATACGCAAGTTGTCACGAAAGGTCCTGCATACATTGAAGTTGGTTCGGAGGTTTTTTAATTGCCTGATGTGATTGATAAATGTTTGACGAACAAAAAGAAACGGATTTTCACATAAGGTTTGCACACAATTAGATAGTTTGATAGTACAAAACGGCAATTTACTTTATTTATGGGCAATAAATATAAATCACATGACGCCACTTTTCCTAATTTCAGGGTGGCGTTTTTCCTTGACAACCGTGCTGCATTTTTTCGGAAAAATCATCAAGAAAAACATGTGAGTTCCTTGCCAACTCAGTCATTCGTATTTTTAATCTAATTAAATAAAATTTCGCGCGTTTCGAAATCCTCTGTACAGATATCTCGAGCTACTGCTTGGTGATGTCAATAGATTCACCATCCATTGTTCCTGTGCAAGTCAAGAAAACGAATAAAAAACGCATCATCAAAAAAAACTGCTTATCAGGTTAACTGAGCTGACCATCATAAGCATGTGAATAAGCCTCTGTTACCTTTATGAACAAATTCCAGAACCATTGCTATCTCTCTCATGTCTTTTTCTATTACTTCAGCCCAATTTTGTACATCGCCTAATTCCTTTGTATGGAAAGAATGCGTAAAAAGAAAAACCCGTAAAAAATCTTGCTCGATCAGGTAATCGCGAATACGGTTAATTTAAAACCTTCAACGCGGAATTGAAACCATCCAACATGTTTAACCACTGTTTTGTTTGCTTTGTGTATTTAGCAGATTGCGCGGAAAGACGCCGGGCTTCGGATTCGATTTCACGTTGTGTTTTGAAGATTGATGCAACCCTGCGTAAAAACGAATGAATGAAAAATTCAAAAGGCTGTTGTATCATCATCGGTATTTCGTTGAGCACCGAGTGACCCTATCACCTTTTTCTTTGAACACGAGTGTTTATCTAATAAAGAAATAATTCGCACGTGCCTTTCGTTCAAGTTTTCTGCTAGACAGTCGGTCACTTCTCCGACAGATTGCAGAACTTCTTTCCGAAGTTGTTCTATGAGGTATACACAATGTGTCAATAATGCATAATGCGGTTATCAGTCCGACGCGAAAACCATGCATAGCGCATACCATTATTACGTCTTACAGCTTGTTGTTTTTGGTTATGCTCTCTCACGAGTCTCGTAAGCATTCTTCGACTAGGTTAGAATATTTTGATCCGCTTCTCCTATGTAAAAGCCACCTAATAAATAAGCATTATTGTTTGCGTTACACAACTCACATGTAACATGTGTCGAGTGCACGCAGCGAGTATACCTTCTCTCTGCCGTAATGGCGTGTTTCAAGAATATTTGCTTCGTGTTACTTATAAACTATCTCGGGCTATACAATCTGGCTTATGCAAACGTTGAAAAAGAAATTTTCTCTTCAAACCTTGACGGCGTTTCACAATCCGTTTATAAAAAAATTAGTGAATGGAGTACACACAAGGGATTGGTGGTGGGTTTATCACAGATCTAAGAATGTTTCGAGGAGGAGGATAGCTGTTCAACTAATTGATTTATGAAGACATTAATATCACCATACGCCATTCAACGTTATGAAAGGATAGTACCTTTTCGAAATATTGAGGAATTTTCTGACGCGTTAACGGGAGAAAAAGAAAATTGGTATGTGATTGATGGTTTAGAGGAAGGAAGTACATACGAGGCAAGAATATCATACGCCGCTACGGTGAGTGGGAATTTAAATGAGTTTTTTTGAATATTCACTGAATTCGTTGACAACTTTTTTTCAAAATTAATAGTCACCGACTACTTTTGTTTTGGAAATAATGGGATTCGAAGATGCGGCAAGGATATTGAGAAAAAGAAATGTTTTACAAGATCATGAGTCGGTAACGATTCAGATTAAGGGACAGTGTGCTTTTTTTTTAAAAAAAATTTTTTTATAACCGATCATAAATCTATTGTAGACTTCCGAGTTAAGAGTTTTCACTACAAAAAAACTTATCCGCGTGAGGGCAATTTACGACGGCGTGTCAATTACTCCTAACAGAGATTCTCAAGTGATTATATACAATATTGGTATGAGATAAATTTTTTCTTATTTCTTCTCTTGTGTTGTCGGACACGATTTTAAAGATACCTATTGTTTCTTTGCGAAGTTTTGGAAAATTTGATATATGGCATCCCACGCGTGGCATTCAAGCTAATATTCCTCCTCGGTGTTACAATGGGTGCGGCATACTTCCTATTTGTACCAAAGATATACAATGCCCTGCGTAAAGTTGTGGAAGAAAAAGAGAAAAAAGAATAATCTATCTTAAATGTTTTCAAAAAATTTCTTTCAATTTAATAATCCAATGTCCACCATAAAGTGACAAAATAAATTACTTAATAAATAACTCGCACACGATAACGATTCAACCGTCTACCAAATAGCCTTCTTGACCCCCGGAATTTCACCTGCCAAAGCCTTTAACCTGAACTGATAACGACAAAGTCTTGAATCGCGAAATACGGCTCGGCCACGCCCTGTTTCCACGCACCTATTCTTGATACTGGTAGGCCGAGCACGACGTGGAAACGAATTAAGCATAAGTTGAGCTTGCTGACGAACCTTTTGATTAATTTGTTCGTTACGAGTAATATAACGATAGGCTTGTCGAATTAGCTCTGCAGCCGCGACCGTCTCCCGGGTTTTTAGGTCTCGTAGAACCCTAGCCTTACGAAGGATACGAAAGTTCATGTCAAAATATCGAAATATGCATTCATTCAACTGATCTTTCGATCTCGAGATTTACAAAAAAATTTTTTAATTTATACAGTATATTAAATACAAATATCTATATTGTAATAATTTTTAAAAATTTATGTGAAACAATAATAATTGGAAATTTTTAAATCATTTTATTTTTAAAAATTATGATTATTTTTTTAAAAGATATACAGTATGAGTCATATATTTTTGGAATTTTTTTAACTTTGTATTTTATCTTAATATTAAATAAAAAAATCAT